TATTTTGAGTTGCTGTGTGTATGTATGCACAAGTGACTGACATTAGACTGACATTACTGTAATAAAGAAATCCATTTTCCCAAAAAACAGTGTGTTTTGTGGTGGTACTGAAATTACTTTCATATCCTAAAAGGAATGATAGAGTTAAAATACCTGCCTATGACTGTTAACCCTTAAAGTTGTGCAGCTATAAGTTCCGGGCTGGTTGTTGTCTTAAAAATGTTTCCTGGTGTGGTACTGGATTTACTCTCATTTCTAAATGGACAGAACTAGCCATAGAAACACAAGAAAAATGGCAAGTCCAGGAACCTCAACTCCTACTCAAAACAAATAGGCAACAGAGCAATCAATGAAAAACCTAGAGGACAGTTCTCAAGCTCTACAAACACTACTTGTAAACTTGCTGAATGAAAAGACTGAAAGCCTGCATGAGGCTATACTTGAGCGTGATGAGGCTAACCAAAGATTAATAGAGGAATTCATGGAATTCACAAACAAAAAGCAGTATTAATTCCAACCAAAGGGGCTGGGAAGTGCTCAGTGATAGGGTACGTGTGTAGCATGCATGAGGCCCTGAGTTCGATCCTCAGCACCTCATAACCAAAAAGAAAAAAGCTAGAAGTGGTGCTGTGGCTCAAGTGGTAGAGTGCTAACCTTGAGATGAAGAGCTGAGGGACAGTGTCCAGCCCAGAGTTTGGGCGCCATGACAAGCAAAAAAAAAAAAACAACAACAACAACCAAAAGACAAAACATAATTCCAACCAAAGGAAAGGAAGTGCAATGAAAAATACATCAGATTCATTTCAGAATCATAGCATAGAAATTCTATGAACATCCAAATGATAGGTCCACTCAGATACAAGAAGCCTTTAGAACCTCAAACAGACAAAACCAGAAGTGGTCATCCCACCACCACACTGTGATCTGCACATGATTGATAAAGACCAAGCTTCAGCTGGGGCTTGAACTCAGGGCCTGGGTACTGTCCCTAAGCTTCTTTTGCTCAAGGCTAGTGCTCTACCACTTGAGCCACAGTGCCACTTCTGGCTTTTTCTGTGTATGTGGTACTCAGGAATCAAACCCAGGGCTTCATGCATGCAAGGCAATCACTCTACTACTAAGCCCCTTTCCCAGCCAGTATAGAGCCTTATAAACAGGAAATAGCAATTGAAATACACTTCAAATTAGGCCCAATGTCCAGTGGATTCTAGGTTTGCAGTGCATCAGCCAATGAATAAGCATTTCACATACCAAGTTGGAGTGCTGGTCTCTGAGCAAAAAAATTAAAAAGAACTATCCAATGTGTAATGGCCTCTAAAGTAGAGAAGTAGGCCCAGTCTCTTAGGGCACTCTCCAGAAAGTCCCATTGTTACAGCTGTATACCCAGAGCCATAGTCTCTTCATAGTGTTATCCAATTTGTTGCCTGAATCCTGATCACTGATGTTCTCCATTGTGTCCCAGTGCCATGCTGCTTGTCACAGTGTAGCATCATGGAGGCTGTAGGATCTAAATACAGGTGTCATGGCCTCTATCTTGGTTTGTCCTTGGCTGAACCCTTTATCATTGGCTGCATCCTGCTTTGTAATTGGCTGTTTCCTGCTCCCTCATTGGCTGTCTACTGACTTGTCATTGACTAGATCCTGCTTCTTCGTTGGCTGACAGGCCAGAAAATACATTCTTTATCCCTAAAATTATATTTTAAGCAACAAAACCCCCAAAAAACTTTGATGGAAACAGACTTTTACACACACACACACACACACACACACACACACACACACACACACATAGAAAGGCATGTTCAGTAAGACTTCAAAACCTCAATGTTTTAAAATTTCAGCATATCTGAATTTGAGTAACTTGTCTAGTGCTCAATCCCCACAACTCCACTCTAGGTCCACCTTTGGTGTTCAATTAGATATTATAGTCTCATGGATGTTCCTGCCTGGGCTAGCTTTGAACCTGTATCCTCAGATGTTAGCATCCTGAATAGTAGAATGACAGGCCTGAGACACTGGCTCCTGGCCTCTGTGGTGTTTCTATCATCCTACAAACAGCAAAGATGAGGTGAGCAGAGTTGGATTGCCACCATGATCTTGTCTTCACTTCCTATTAAAATGGATCATTCTTGGTATAACATAAGTGAGTGAACCATCGCGAAACCATTCTGTTATTCTTCATGAGTAAGAACGGGCATAGAGTGGGGTAGCTGAAGGACAACATCAGAAGCACACCCTTGGATTTGTTCAATTTCTCCAGCGTCCACAAGGAATACATAATCACGATGTTGTTGGAACAATAGAAGAACACGAAGCAGCTGACCAGCAGCAGGATTGTGTGAGTGGCTGTGTTCTCGGGCGCTGTCTGGGAGTCAAGGATGGGACTGTGGAGGTGCTGGGCTCTGCGGCGGTGTCGGTAGAGGAGTGTCACCATGTAGAGGCTGGGGGCCACCATGAGGACCACGAACAGAGCATCTAGCAGCACAAAAGAGCTGATAATGGGCATTGGGGTGGCCCTAATGAAGTTCGTTTGACAGTAGGGATGAGAATATCCCATGCTCATGATGGTGGAATTGCAATTTGATTGCACATTTGTGATGATTTCAAAATACACGATGGGATTCAAGATCCATAAGGAGAGCAGCGAAAGAAGGATGCAGGTGGAGGGTCGACTTTTCAGCCAAGCCCTCTGGGCAGGGGTGCGGCTGATGGTGAGGGCCTGGAAAGCACTCATGAAGGTGGTAGTGCAGGTGGACAGTCCCCGCATGACCCTGAACAGGAACAGCATCGCTTTACATGTGGCATCATCCCAGAAACACAGGACTCCAAACGAGGAGACGATGAAGGGCATGGACTCAAAAATGATGGTCAAGGCGTTGACCAGGGTCAGATGCATGAAAACTATGGCAATGGGCTTCCGGAGCCGTGATTTGCACACAGAGCTGTACGCGTACAGCAGGAAGACGATACAGTTCCCCAGGATGCCCAGACACACCTTAGACACAAAGAGGAGCCTGAAAACAGTGTCACCTGGGGTAGTTGTCATTGTGTGTGTGTGTGTGTGTGTGTGTGTGTGTGTGTGGAGAGAGAGAGAGAGAGAGAGAGAGAGAGTGATTGTGTGTATGTGTGTTTTGCTGAGAATCAAAGCAAGAGTGCTGCCCAGCCAAGAAGGTGAGAAAGCTCTAGACAACACTGTGATTCCCTCAGGCGGGAATCTTCATGGTGCTCCATTTCTTTATCAGGTAAGCCAGGCTTAGAATGAATGCCGAAAGATAGAGTGTTAAACAATGATTTTAAAATAGTTTCTTTTTTTGGGGAGTGGGTTATACCACTTATGAAATTGGAACTCAGGGCCCAGGTACTGTTCCTGAGCTTTTTTACTCAAAACTGCTGCTATCCCAGTTGAACCACAGCTCCATTTCTGGCTTGTTGGTGGATCACTGGAGATCAGAGTCTCAAGGACTCCCCTTTCTGGTCTGACTTTGAACCTGGATCCTCAGATCTTTGCCTCCTGAACAGTTGGGCTTACAGGCGTGAGCCACCAGGGTCTGGCCCATACAATTGTTTTAAGTGGAGGCTGGGAAAAATGTTCCACTTGCCAGTTCTGGAGGGTTGGAAGTGTTCTGACCTCGGTATTTCAGACATGAATGTGCTGTGACCTTTGAATCTGGGATGTAGGGCCTGGAAGGACCTGGGGAGACACCACACTGGGCTGGGGTGTTAGGAAGGAAGATCACTGGCTGACTCTTTCTGTGGTCCCTGGGGCTCCATCATGGTCGGCAGTGGACTATACAAGGAGGGCCGGGAGCCTGTGCATCAGATTGGCTTCACTTTTTGTAAAATCTTCATTTTTGAACAGCTGTTGCACAAATAGCACATCCATGTAAAATCCCTGTGGGGATGGCTACAATATGACTTTTGTTTTCTGGTTGGTCATGGGATGAACTCTGGGCCTGGGCACTGTCTCCACTCATCAGCTCAAGGCAAACACTCTACCGCTTGAGCCACAGAGCCACTTCTGGTTTTCTGTGGTTCATTGGAGATGAAAGTCTCATGGACTTTCCTGCCCGGTTTGGCTTTGGACCTCAATCCTTACATCTCAGCCTTCTGAATAGCTAGGATTACAGGTGGGAGCCACCGGTACACAGCACAATATGACTTTTTTCATGGTGTATAGAAATACTAGAAGGTAAATATCTAACCAATATTATCTATACATTTTTTCTGTCAGTCCTGGGGTTTGATCTCAGGGTCTGGGTGCTGTCCCTGAGCTTTTCAGCTCAAGGCAAGCAGTCTACCGCTTGAGTCACAGCACAACCACTGGTTTTGTAGTGGTTTCTTGGAAATAAGAGTCTCTCAGACTTTTCTGCCAAGGTTGGATTTGAGCCGTGACCCTCAGATCTTAGCCTTCTGAATAGCTGGTGGCGTGAGCCACCAGTGCCTGGTTTATTTTTTGTACATTTGAGATTTCCCCCCCTGTATCATTCTCACTCAGTACTGTTCTTGTGTTTTCTCTCTCATCACAGAGAATCCTTTGTCCCATAATTAACTTGCACTGAATTAAATTAGTATCCTATTTTTCCTGACTAAGTCTGTAAGAACATTTTCAACCCATTCTCCTGAACAATCTCCTGCACAACAAAGTTTCACTCTGGCCCTCTTTGATGCTGCATGGAAGCAACAGCCAAATTGTTGAACATGACAACTCTGTGTGTTGCCCTCGTCAGCATCCATTGTGCCTTCCAGAGACAGTTTAACTTTTATGAATTAGAATTTTTAGGAATTGTGATATTAGCTATGGTTCACAATTGTTCATCATGTTCTCATATGGGTAATATGTGTTATCTTTCCTATGTAATCAGGATCTATCTAGATTTTCGTTTTCTATGTGTGTTGGTCATGGGTCTTGATTCTGGGTCTGAGCATGGTCCCTGAAAATTTTTCCTCAAGACCGGTACTCTATGACTTGAGCTACAGCTTTGTGTCTGGCTTTTGGGTGCATAATTGGTCATCAGTGTATCATTGACTATCTTGGAGAGGCTGACTTTGAACTGTTATCCTCAGATCTCAGTTTCCTGAGTAGCTAGGATTACAGGCGTAAAACACACACACCCCAAATCATCTTTTTACAAGTGCTTTCCTTTTTTCTTCTTCTATCTCTAAACTTTTCAATTTAATTAGCAAGACCTCTATAACTATCTTTCTTTCTTTCTTTATTTTTTTTAGGTCCTGTCGTGGGGTCTGAACTCTGGGCCTGGGCTCTGTCCCTCAGCTCTTCAGCTCAAGGCGAGCGCTCTACCACTTGACCCACAGCACCAATTCTGGCTTTTTTCTCTTTGCTTATGTGGTGTTGAGGAATCGAACCCAGGGCCTCAGGCATGCAAGGCAAAAACTCTTCCACTGAGCCACCTTCCCAGCCCCACCTGTAGAACTTTCTAGTGAAGCTTGTTATTTTATATTTTCCCTTATTATTGGACAGAAGAGCAGCTCACTCACAAAAATTGACTTGGGCTGTGCATTTTCCATTAAGCTCTCTGCTGATTCTCATTCGATGTCCCACTGGGCAATTATAGGACTCACATTACTAGGATCAACCATTGCAATGCATTTTTTACACTGAGATTTTCGTAATTAGCAGAAATTACAGGGGAAATAAAGGAAAGATGGAAAGGATATAAATAATCCTGATCAAGTCAGTTCATACTCTTGAGAACTGTACTGTGAGAAACCGCACACCCAGTCTTTCTTAAATGCCATGTTTCACCCAGTCAGAATAAAATTCCATTTATTCTCTCTCAGACGCTGATGAAGCCAATCCA